TAATACCCGAAATAGTTGGGATTTTGAATAATGTGAATTTTGAGAATAGTGTGAATGAAAAGCCATAGTTAAAAATAGAATATCAAATGTACTTACTAGTAGCGCGAAAGTATAAAAGCGCTGGCTGCTGGCCTTGAATAAAAACTAACTCAGAAGAGTTCGACTCAATTAAGAGTCTATTATCAATCCTTTAAAGTTTCGCTCCAATTACCCCCCGATAAGTGAATTTATAATCCCGTGATTTTTAATTAGAGCCTCGTGACATAGTCTAGAGCTCTATTTGGCCCTAATAACTCGGACCAAGTTTTTCCACACCCTCTTTCGTGCCTTCCACCATTAGGGTCCAGTAGAGTTTGGTGGTTAGCGTGTTGATTTGGATTAGTTTATTGTTAGTTTATATCCGTGAGAGCCATATTTTGGGTATCCGGATCGACTTTACCCTTCTCAACGTACTTACATATGACGTATGTATGTAATGCAAGATCACGCGCGTGATCCGCTGTGATTCATGGAATAGGTTTTTTCCATGTTTACGAATGTGGTCAAAACTCCTCGGAATATTTTGGGAATCCATGCCACTTGCACGAGTTATATAATATAGGGGTCAAAAAAAATCTCTCGGATCATGCGCGTTGCCCATCTAATTTAACAAATATGTAGATTAAATATTCTTAATTCAGTAAGAGACTTCATTAAACGATTAAATACTTAAATGTATCTTGAGCTTTTAATCCTATTTCATAAAAAAAAAAAAAAAAATTTAAAAAAGAAATGTCTTTACGTAAATACTTTGAAAATCTCAATTTTGTTGATTACTTTCTTCTAATTGTATTCTTCTTTCTTTTTTATGTCTTCCAATTTTACTACAAATATTTTACTCGCCCGAATAAATTACCAGGACCTTTTCCTCTTCCAATTATAGAATGTGCATATTGCTTTAGGAGTGATGTTAAACAAATATTCGTCTCATTCAATAAAAAATATGGTGATATTTATGAATTTCAACTTGGTGGTTATCGAAGAATTGTACTTTCACGCCCAGAATATGTCGAAAAATTTTTTAACAATTCAACAAAGCATGCAAAATTTATGCCAAGATTACCTTATTCTCAAGGGTTAGTAGAATTTAGAAAGGGTGGAAAAGGATTAGCAAATAATAATGATTTCAAAAGTTGGAAATTTAATCGTCGAATTTTTATCCGAGCGATCTTATCACCCAGTTTTAATAATGAAGCAATTAAATGGACAAACCTGTTGTTTAAAGAGTTAGAAGGATATTGGAAATCTCTTGGTTCAACCAATAGTGGTGGTAAAGAATGGTCATTGGAGACTGATTTTTCAAAATGGTTTCATAGATTCACTAATGACATGATTGTAGTTTCAACCACTGGTGAACGTTCTTATTCAATGGGATCATATTATAATACCCTAAGCCCTATAAAAGCGTCATACCCTGATGAATTAATAGAAGATTCGGATAGATTTGTTCAAGGGATTAATCAATTTATTGTTGGTTCATCATTTTTTATATTCCTGGGTCCATTTGTACGGCACTACATTCCATTCATCAAAAGTAAAACAAATGTATTATTAAAAAATCGTGATCTCATATATGAAAAGTTAGACAAAATTATTAAAAAGAGGAGACAAGAAATAGAAGAGATGCAGACTAAAGAGCTAAAATATGATATGTTGACTTCTTTTATTATCGCTAATACTGAACGTGATGTCAATTATAAAAAGACTGTTGGAGAAGAAACTTTTCCACCTATGATCGATATTGATATCAGAGCCAATCTTTTAGAAGCATTCGTAGCCGGAACAGATACTGTAAGACAATAGTTTAGTGTCGCAAAAGGAAATCTATAGTTCTTATTAGATGAAGAATTGCAGGTTTTCCCTTTGCGGCACTTATTTCAATCTTGATTTTTTTTACTTGATTTTATTTTTAAGTTATTCATGTTCACTGTATATTGTTTTACACATTCATTATAGACCGCAAACCTACTCTGTTTTATAACTTACTATTTATGTCATTATCCTGAAGTAAAGCAAAAAATGCTTGCCGAGATTGATTCAATATTTCAGCCAAACAGTTCATCTCAGTTAACACAAAGTGATCTCTCAAAGCTAAAATATTGCGAAGCAATTATTAAGGAAGTTGACAGGATATTACCTGTTGCAAGTCTAACAGGAAGATATACAACAGAGCCTATCGAGATAGGTGGATATCAATGGCCAGCTGACACAACGTTTCAAATTGATTTTACTAGCATTCATCGACATAAAGATTATTGGCCCAACCCAGAAATTTTTGATCCTGATCGATTTTTTCTTGATAATAAGAGTGAAAGTTTTTTAAACGTAAACAATGATGATCTTATTAAAGATGATAATAATGAAAAAGAGGATCAAAAGGTTGGGCAAAAATATTCGTTTATAATGTTTGGTGGTGGATATAGGATTTGCCCCGGGAGAAAGTTAGCTATGATTGAGTTACTTTCTCTTATGGTATATGTATTTGGAAAATTTGACGTCGAATTAATCGATATGGAAGCTCCATTAAAGACCAAATCTTCCTTTGCCACTAGTTGTCAAGAGCTGATGGTTAAAATTAAGCCCAGGAACAAATAATTATTAATGAGTATATCTCATTATTTAAAAAAAATATACTATGATTGTTAGGGTGTTTCAAATTTATATTTATTTTATTTATAGGTTTTTATGAATCATTTGTTTATTTATTGTATTTAGCAACGCAATAAATGAGAGAGCAGCGATTTGTGGCGGTTGAATGGGATGAGACTCAAACATCAATGATTGAGACATGCACCAGTACGTATAATTGCTGGTAATACTTAATCGAATAAATCTCATTAGCCTCATAAATTTATATTATTAAAGATTTAAGTGTTGTGCCTCTTATTTTCATTATAGTTATCTTGAAAATATTTTTCCATACTATACCTTGAATAATTTTTTAGATTTCGTTTTTTATGTGTAAAGTTTATTATTGTTACCATTATCTTTGCATGAAGAACTTTAATTCAGGATTGACCATTTAATTCTCTCAAACTCAAGCATAAGAGAGTTTATTGACATCAGCATTATTGTAGTAATTACGTTAATGTTTATATATTATTTCAATATTCAAATCTTTATTGTTGTTTATGCTTTTCTAGAGTTTGTACTCAATATAAATTTTAAATTATTCGCCCTCATTACCTGGTTATAAACTGTGTCCAAATAATCTGAATAACCCGTGTGACCTACGGGTGACCCGGTTCCATTTTTCATATACAAACTTTTACTAGATTTCATTATGATCTTTGATCTATATCATGAATTAAATAACTCTTCACAATTAACTAGAACCAATTTAATACTTGTTTTCAGCAAAGATCATTACGGCGCATTTGTAAACTACCCCAAAATGTGAGAAAGTTTGACTACCGATAGTAAGTCAATTTAATTTGACCTCATATTTTGTCCCCAAACCCAAATATTCGGTCACTAAATTTATTATTTATCAATTTAAAACTAAATCTCGAAATTTTTTTCACCCCATTTCTATGGCATATAACGTCTAACCCATCTTCCCACCATTCAACCCATCTTCCTACTATATCTGCTTAATTTCCTTAATGATCCTTTTGAATCTGATTATCTGGATCATATGATCGGATATTCAAAGGATTATACTATTTTTTTAACATCTTAGAATCTCGACTACGTCATAAGTAATCTGGTATTTCCTGGTTTACTAACTAGTTTAATTTTGATAATAGATTTGTTATCTCTCGCGTGTCAACGAAATTGCTGGTATACATGTAATTTTAATGGCTTGCTGGTTTAACCGGTAATTATTGTCGCAGATCATAATGAAATCGGATTAAAATGAAACTGCTTGCTCATCTTTAAAGCTTATAAAACCCACTTATACTCTTTTATTAATAAAACTAACTCTAAACCCTAACCCTAACACTAACACTAAAAAATGTCCCCCAAAAAATTTTAAAATTTCCCATAAAATATAAAACTTTCATTTTAATCTGCCACAATAATTAATTATTTCAATTGCTTTTAAACAACCATGCTTTTATAATACCCTAGCCATGTCGAAAAAAAACTGACAGCCATTGTGAGATTCTATTCGAGTATTGGATAAAACTGACGAGCCTTAGCAACAAAAGTAAAAAACTTTTTCATAAATTTATGTAAGTATTTTATTGTGATATTACTTGAAAGAAAACTAACCCACGGTCTTTTGATAATCCTCTAAATCATCATTTTTCTACAACAGCTTCATCTAATAGCTCAATTATGTGTTCTGGTATGAGACCTTTTCCGAATACTCGAGATGTTTTGACTGCTTAAAAAAGACACTAGGCATCGACAAGTCCATGCCTTTTCTCTCACATTTAACAGTTTTTTTATATACTTTAAAAATTTTAATCAAATAACGATAGTGAAACAAATAAACATCGGATGATATCAGCGATCTTAATAATCTTTATTATGCAAATCTATATATAAGATACTGTTATACAAAAACCACCTCTAAATCTGTTCGATGCAATTAGGCGTTGATATTAATATGTCTCACGCGCTTTAATCTTTATAACAACGCGAAATATTAGGATAATAAGAGGTTTTATGCGATTTACAGTTATGAATGAGGCAATCGGCTAAATATATATGAAGATACAAATAGTCTACTGATATCAAATACAGTATCAAGTAAAATGTTCGTGAATAACCTTCGCGGTAATCACGTGATCAAGTTCGTTAATTCACTTTTCGATTAGGTTTGGTGTATGAAGACATGATTTTGTATTTTTAAATAAGTATGTGTTTCGAACTATCGATTCCTGGCGGGGAAATCGAGGATGTTCTTTGACTAAGATTAAAGCTACAGTAATACAAATAACAACGATACTGATTCTACTCTATCTAATTAGAGATGCGAACCTTGCTGATCCTAGCAGTTTTCGGAAATAATCAAGGCCAAAAACTGTTAAGTCGGCAAACGGTTCACATCTCTATGTCAAATAAATATATAATAAATATACATGATATAATAATATACTGATACATATAATAGGGCAATAACTATGGTAATGATAAGGTTTGTAATATTCCTGTAATAAATAATAGAGCTATTAGAATTACAGTAGTAGCATTAATAACTTAGTGCGATGTTGCGCAAACGTGTAAGTAGTCTCATGATTCATGGACGTTCGTAGCCGTACGTACGTACGTACGTATTTGAGGTCTAACAGTCTATAATATGTACTACCTGATACCTTATACTGCCCTGGTACAGGACGTACATACGTGTCATTGCATAACAACAAATATTTATACAAATAATCCTTGGCTAAATTATAAACAGAGGTTTAAATCATTTATTATTTTGGAAATAAAATATTAAATACTGTATTTTCGATACCCCTAGTATTTATCCTCTTATGAAATAATTCTATTTCATAAAAAATGTCTTTACATAAACATTTTGGAAATCTCAATTTTGTCGATTATTTTCTTCTAATCGCACTCTTCTTTCTTTTTTACGTCTTCCAATTTTACTATAAATATTTTACTCGCCCGAATAAATTGCCAGGACCTTTTCCTCTTCCAATTATAGAATGTGCATATTGCTTTAGGGGTGATGTTAAACAAATATTTGTCTCGCTCAACAAAAAATATGGCGATATTTATGAAATTCAACTTGGTGGTTACCGAAGAATTATACTTTCACGCCCAGAATACATCGATAAATTTTTTAACAATTCGATAAAGCATGCAAAATTCATGCCAAGATTACCTTATTCTTCGGGGTTGAATGAATTAAGAAAGTCTGGAAAAGGATTAACAACTAATAATGATTTTAAAAGTTGGAAAGTTGTTCGTCAATTTTTTACCCGAGCAATTTTATCGCCAAGTTTTAATAATGATGCAATTAAATGGACAAACTTGTTGTTAGAAGAGTTAGAAGGATATTGGAAATCTCTTGGTTCAACCAATAATGAGAGTAAAAGATGGTCATTGGAAACTGATTTCTCAAAATGGTCTCATAGATTCACTAATGACATGATTGTAGTTTCAACCACTGGTGAACGTTTTTATTCAATGGGATCATATTATAATACTCTAAGTCCAATAAAAGTATCATACTCCGATGCATTAATCGAAGATTCAGATAGATTTGTTGAAGGGATTAAACAATTAATTATTGGTACATCAATGTTTCTATTCCTGGGTCCATTTGTACGGCATTACGTTCCATTCATCAGAGGTAAAGCAAATGCAATATTAAAAAAACGAGATTTCATATTTGAAAAGTTGGATAAAATTATTAAAAAGAGGAGACAAGAAATAGAAGAGATGCAGACTAAAGAGCTAAAAAATGATTTGTTGACTTCTTTAATTATCGCTAATACTGAATGCGATGTCAATTACAAAAAGACTGTTGAAGAAAAAACTTTTCCGCCTATGACCGATATTGAAATCAAATCTTGTATTTTAGACGCTTTCTTAGCCGGAACAGATACTGTAAGTCAATATTTGAGTGTCGCAAAGGGAAAACCAGTAATTCTTACTAGACGAAGAATTACAAATTTTCTCTTTGCGGCACTCATTTTCAATCTTGATTTTTTTTTTAATTTTATTTTTAAATTCTTCTTGTTCACTATATATTGTTTTTATACATTCTTTATAGACCGCAAACCTATTCTGTTTTATAACCTACTATTTATGCCATAATCCTGAAATAAAGCAAAAAATGCTTGTCGAGATTGATTCAATATTTCAGCCAAACAGCTCATTCCAGATAACGCACAGTGATCTCTCAAAGCTAAAATACTGCGAAGCAATTATTAAGGAAGTTGACAGGATATGCCCTGTCGTAGCTCTAACAGCAAGATATCCAACAGAGCCTATAGAGATAGGTGGATATCAATGGCCAGTTGGCACAATGTTTCAAATTAATTTTGCTAGCATACATCGACATAAAGATTATTGGCCCAACCCAGAAATTTTTGATCCTGATCGATTTTTTCTTGATAATAAGAATGAAAGTTATTTAAACGTAAACAACGATGATCTTATTAAAGATGATAATAATGAGAAAGGTGATCAAAAGGTTGGGCAAAAATATTCGTTTATAATGTTTGGTGGTGGATATAGAATTTGCCCCGGGAGAAAGTTAGCTATGATTGAGTTACTTTCTCTTATGGTATATGTATTTGGGAAATATGACGTCGAATTAATCGATATGGAAGCTCCATTAGAAACTAAATCTTCCCATGTCACTAGTTGTCAAGAGCTGATGGTTAAAATTAAGCCCAGAAACAATTAATTATAATAAATACATCTCATTATTCAAAATATACTATAGCAGATAGGGTGTTTTAAATTTACATTTATTTTATTTATAGGTTTTTATATTGAGTCATTTGTTTATTTATTGTATTAGGCATACGTGATAAATGAGAGAGCTGCGATTTGTGGTGGTTGAATGGGATGAGACTCAAACATCACATGCACCAGTACGTATAATTGCTGGTAATACTTAATCATATAAATCTCATTAGCCTCATTGACTTATATTAAAGTTTTAAGTGTCATGCCTCTTATTTAAATTATAATTGTCATGCTCATATTTTCCATGCTATTACCCTGAATAATTTTTTACTTTATGCGTAAAGTTTGTTACATTTATTCTTGTTCCCATTATCTTTGCATGAATAATTAAATATTTTATTTTAATTTAGCATGAAATTCAAAGTAACTTACTTGACCGTTTTAATTCTCTCTCTAGCTCTAGCATAAGAGAGTTTATTGACTTCAGTATCATTTGCAGTGATTACGTTATAATGATTAATTTTTTGTTTATAATTGCTGTTTATTTTATGCTAAATGTTTTTTAATTTTACATTAAAGTTATTATTATTATTTCGAATATTCAAATATTTATTGTTGTTTAAAGTGTATGCTTTTTCTAGAGTTTGTACCCAATATAAAATTTAAGTACTGGTTACCCACCGTTTATAAAATCGCCTGAATGCCCTGAGCAACCCGAGTGATCTGGTTCTATTTTTCATATAAAGCTTTTACTAGATATGGGCTGCAGATTGATATTTTAAAAAAATTAATCTCTTAACTTTCACAACTTATATCCCGATGAATTTTGAGGCTATCTTGATTATTAATATTCAATAGAAAGTCTAGATCATAAGCTTTCTTTTGAATATTAATTCATCAAGATATAAATTATAAAAGTTAAGGACTTAATTTTTTTTAAAATGTCAATCTGCTTGATTACCATTGACGGCAGCTCATATCATTATAATCTTTGATAGATATCACGAATAAATGCAATTAACAGAACCATTTCGTACTTATTTTCAGCAAAGATCAATCTGATTATCTGGATTATGTGACAGATATTCAAAGGATTATTATATATATTTTTTTTAAAATCTTCGATTAATCATAAATAATCTGGGATTTCTCCATTCTATGGGTGTTCAATTTTGATAATTGAATGTTATATTACAGTAATTATATGAATCATAGAAATAATATAAAATTTTTTTTTATCAATTTATGTAAGCATTTATTGAGATATTATCGCTCAAAACTTAAGAAAAAAAACTAACTCATAGTCTTTTGATAATCTCCTAAAACATAATTTTCTTTACCGACTTCATTTACAGTAATAGCTCAATTGTCATGAGACCTTTTCCGAATACTCTGGAGATGTTTTGATTGCATAGAAAAGATGGATACTTTTGGGACACTCCGCAAATTATTGATCAAACATTTTTGCAGTTCACTTTGGCATAATTGATCTAAATTACAGTACATACTGTACATACAATAGGCGGCAAAAGTAACGCCCGATTTTTCAATAAAACAAATTTATGATTTATTCTATTTTTGCTCTAAAAAATATAATTTTTTTTTATCTGACTAATACATTGCAAAATGCATGCATGCATCAATATTATTCAATTCTTCATGTATTGGGCCCGAAACCACCCGAAGAATGAACATATTAGGGGTTTTTTAAAATGGCTTTAAAATCGTTTACACTTTTTAAAAGGTTTTTAAACTTTGGATATTTTTCTTTAATGCTTTTTAAATATTTTATTAAGTTTAGATCAGGAGGTCTTTTTTATTCATGTTATAATTTAAATTTTTCGATTTTGAATTATTTTATGGCTTTTTTTATAATATAAACAAGGATATAAGTGTAATGCTAAGGGAGTTTTTTACATAATTGCATCGATTAGTAAGAAATCATTAAGTTGCAAATATAATGTCAAATTATTAAGAAGCTTGAATTATTTTTTTATGTATTGTATCGATTAATAGTTTGTCTATCTGAAATAAAGTATTCAGAGTATAGAACTATTGTTCGGAGCATAGCAGAGGACTTTTAAGGTTTACGCTTGGTGATATAAAAGTTTTGATGCATCAATAGCTACATTTTTGATTCACCTTTTATTGTCATTTAGGCTATTGAATCAAAAATATAATTTTGAAAATTCATATCTGTTCACATGCATGTTCAGATTTGTAATCTTAGTGTAGCAAAAATATGCACATTCATGTTACTTATTTGCGCTGATAATACAAACTAAAAAAGGAAATTACATTTGTAAATAAACTAAGAAAGTTTAGAATTAGGTTATTAGGGTTAACATTAAGGTTAGTGTTAGGGTTGTGAACTTTAGTGATAATTTGTTTTTTATATATAAAATTTCATTCCTATTATTTTTTATTGGTCCAAAAAGGTCGATTTAAATACTAGTTTTTGAGTATTTTCTCTTTTTTGTTTTTTTTTATGTTTTTCTTCACTTTGCTTACGTGTCGGGCTGATCTGGGATCATTACATTTTATGTTCTCTGATTGGCCATTTCCTTTTTAGAGATTTGTATTACCTGCGCAAATAAGTGGATGCCCTATATGATACCGGACTCATAACGCTATGCATTTCCCTAGTATAGCATAGCAATTTTGTTTATATTTAGGTATCTGCTTTTAATAAGATTATATATATGTATTTATTTAATATGAATTTGTATGATTGTAATCTATTAGCACAACAGGTGGTGCTTATGCGCCACTCTCTTTTTGTAGTGACATATAGTATAAATTGAAATTACCTGTAAACCATCAGAAATCGTCGAAAAAACTTTAATGCTTTTGTGCTGTTGGGGTATTATGGTATAATATGCATATTGGTATTTATTTTTATATTTTACTTCGCTGATCTCTTCCCGAAATTGCCCAAATAGGAAAAAAGAAAAAAGTATATCAACTGCAATATGAAGTTTAATCTTCTTTTAATTTTTAAATGGAATTGATTAAATTTTAAATCAATTAATTTATCTCAGTAAAATGAACTGAATAATACTAAAGTTATTTAATTCTGGTCAGCAAATCTATAAATATTGCAAAAAAAAATGTGAGTGTACCAATGATACCCATATTATAATACTCGAATCTACCTTATGTGGTTAAGGTTGAGTTAGTTTTACTATGAACTACTGTAAAAAATTCTATTATAGAGCTCGCTTACTATTCTGTTGACACATAGTGTATGGTTAACATTAAGCTAATTTGCATTGAAATAACATAATTCTGTTACAAATCTTACTATTCCAGTAATATACAATATGTGGATAAGGTTGAGTTAGTTTGCATTAAAATTATTGTTTTTTTTTATAAGTTAGTATGTTATGAAACTTGCTATTCCAATGATACAATATATGATTAAAGTGTTATGGAACTTGCTATTCTGATAATGCAATATGCGGTTAATGTTAAAATAGCTTCATTCAAATTATTTTGTTACTGTAAAAATTCTTACTTACTGTTCTAGTAATATTTAGTACAAGGTTAAAGTTGAGTTAGATTATATTATAAGTTACAGTAAAAAATTCTAATACAAAACTTAATTACTATTCCAGTAACAGAAAGTATATAGTTTAGGTTGAATTAGTTTGTATTGTAAAATTAATGTAGAAAATACAGAATTCACCTTCTACTATGGTAACAAAATATGTAGTTGAAGTTGAGTTGATTTTATTTAAATTATTATTGATTTCTATCAAGAGTTGTTGTAAAAATTTTGTTACAAAACTTACTATCTGGTAATACACAATATGTGAATAATATTGACTTATTTTGCATTGTAAGTTACTGTAAAAAATTATGTTACAGAACTTACTTGCTATTCTCTGATACACAATATATAGTTAAGGTTAAATTAGCTAGAATTGTTACTGTAAAAAATTCTTTACAGAACTTACTTGCTATCCAGGTAACATACTTTACTGCAATACTGTGCAAACTCTTATGGTTATAGATTTTTTTATTTTTTGTATGTAATTATATAAGCAGACAATCTCAAATTAAGACTCAGTTAGCCAATAATTACTTTTAAAGTGTGATTATAGTTGCACAATAACATCAATATTTATTATTGCATAACCAATATTTTATAACTGTTTGATTAAAGTTGAGGTATTTTACATTGTAAATTACTATAAACATTTGGAACAGAACTTACTCGATTTTGATAATACACAATATACAATTACTGTAAGGTTGAGTTAGTTTGCATTAAAATTATTATGAATTATATTATTGGTTAATATAAAACTTCTGTTACAGAACTTGCTATTTCAGTAACACAGTATATAGTTAAGGTTGAGTTAGTTTGCATAAAAATTATTATAATTTCTCTTATAAATTACTATAAAAATTGTAAGTTAGTTTGTATTATTACTGTATAAAATTCAGTTACAAAACTTATTTGATATTCTATTGATACATACTACATAATTTAAGTTGAGCTAGTTTTCATTAGAATTATTGAGTTTACTATCATGAATTATTATGCTGTAGAGCTTATTCACTATTCTAGTAATACATAATATATGGCTAAGATTATTTTAGAATTATCATAATTTCTATCATAAGTTATTATAAAGTTTATACAAAATTAATAGTTTATCTTGAGTTACTGTAAAAAATTCTGTTATAGAACTTGTTTACTACTCTGATAAGGCATATTATGTGACAGTCGACGTTGAAACAATAACTAACCTTCCAGAACCAACCCGCAAGGAAATCATGTATCCACAAC